GTGTGACCCCGTGTGACCCCCGTGTGACCCCGTGTGACCCCGTGTGACCCCCGTGTGACCCCTGTGTGACCCCTGTGTGACCCCGTGGCCCAGGCGAACGCGGAGCGCGCGGTGCGGGACACGCTGCGGGCCGTGGCCGCGCTGTGACCCCTGTGTGACCCCGTGTGACCCCTGTGTGACCCCGTGTGACCCCCGTGACCCTGTGTGACCCCTGTGTGACCCCTGTATGACCCCGTGACCCCCGTGTGACCCCCGTGTGACCCCTGTGTGACCCCGTGTGACCCCGTGGCCCAGGCGAACGCGGAGCGCGCGGTGCGGGACACGCTGCGGGCTGTGGCCACGCTGTGACCCCCGTGTGACCCCCGTGTGACCCCCGTGTGACCCCTGTATGACCCCGTGTGACCCCTGTGTGACCCCGTGACCCCGTGGCCCAGGCGAACGCGGAGCGCGCGGTGCGGGACACGCTGCGGGCCGTGGCCGCGCGCTGGGGGACGGCGCTGGCGGCCGAGGACACGATGGACGATGGGACCCCGATCCGGCTGCGCGTGCACCTGGAGCCCGCCACGGTGCGACACGGACACGGACACGGACACGGGACATGGGATATGGACACGGGACACGGACACGGGACAGGGGCACGGACACGGGACAGGGGCATGGACACGGACACGGACACGGGACAGGGGCATGGACACGGACACGGACACAGGACAGGGGACAGGGGCACGGACACGGACACGGGACATGGGATATGGACACGGACATGGACATGGGACAGGGGCACGGACACGGGACACGGGCACGGACACGGACATGGGACATGGGATATGGACACGGGACACGGACACGGGACAGGGGCACGGACACGGACATGGACATGGGACACGGACACGGGCATGGACACGGACATGGACATGGACACAGGACACGGGACATGGACACGGACACGGACACGGACATGGGACACAGACACGGGACGGGCACGGACACAGGACATGGGACACAGGACGCAGGACACGGACACAGGACACGGACACGGGACACAGACACGGACACAGACATGGACATGGGACACGGGACACGGGGACAGAGGGGACACGGGACATGGGTTTTGGGGTCCCCCTGGTCCCTGGGCGGGTTTTGGGGTCCCTGTGGGCTCCGGGCGGGTTTTGGGGTCCCTGGGCGGGTTTTGGGGTCCCTGGGTGGGATTTGGGGTCCCTGTGGGCTCTGGGCGGGTTTTGGGGTCCCTGGGCGGGTTTTGGGGTCCCTGTGGGCTCCGGGCGGGTTTTGGGGTGCAGCGTCCCCCCCGCCCCCCCAGGGCAGCGCCGTGTTCGATTTTGGGGGGACGGGCCCCGAGGTGCTGGGGAACTGCAACGCGCCGCGAGCCATCACCCTGTCGGCGCTGATCTACTGCCTGCGCTGCCTGGTGGGGCACGACATCCCCCTCAACCAGGTGAGACCCCAAAAAATACCGAACACACCCCAAAAAATACCGAACACACCCCAAAAAACCCCAAACACACCCCAAAAAATACCAAACACACCCCAAAAAATACCGAACACACCCAAAAACCTCAAACACACCCCAAAAACCCCAAACCCACCCCAAAAAATACCAAACACCCCAAAAACCCCAAACACACCCAAAAACCCCAAACACACCCAAAAACCCCAAACACACCCAAACCCCAAACCAGGTGAGGCCCCAAATCCCTCCGACCTCCCCACCCTGGGGAGATCAGGTGGGCTCAGGGAGTGCCAGGTGTGTCCAGGTGTGCTCAGGTGTATCTCAGGTGTATCCCAGGTGTGCCCAGCTGTATCCCAGCTGCACCCAGCTGTGCCCAGGTGTGCCCCCAGGTGTGCCCAGGTGTGTCTGTGCCCAGCTGTGCCCAGCTGTGCCCCCAGGTGTGCCCAGGTGTATCCCAGGTGTATCCCAGGTGTATCCCAGCTGTGCCCAGGTATATCCCAGGTGTATCCCAGGTGTACCCAGGTGTGCCCAGGTGTGTCCCAGGTGTATCCCAGGTGTACCCAGGTGTGCCCAGGTGTATCCTAGGTGTACCCAGGTGTGCCCAGATGTATTCCAGGTGTGCCCAGCTGTGCCCAGGTGTATCCCAGGTGTACCCAGGTGTATCCCAGGTGTATCCCAGGTGTATCTCAGGTGTGCCCAGGTGTGCCCAGGTGTACCCAGGTGTATCCCAGGTGTATCCCAGGTGTATCTCAGGTGTGCCCAGGTGTATCCCAGGTGTGCCCAGGTGTATCCCAGGTGTATCTCAGGTGTACCCAGGTGTGCCCAGGTGTGTCCCAGGTGTATCCCAGGTGTGCCCAGGTGTATCT